CAAAGATATAGGAAAATGTTTATGTTACCTATTAAGTGAAAAACAAATTCTAAAGCTATATAGACAGTAGAATCAAAATTTGCATATAAGCCATCACTAATACACGTAGGCACACAAATAAAGTACTAGAAGGAAATACAAAAGTATTACCAGGGTTGGGGACTTCCCTGGTGGCGCAGTGGATAAGAATCCACCTGCCAATGTAGGGGATACGGGTTCGAGCCCTGGTCCAGGAAGATCCCACAAGCCACGGAGCAACTAAGCCCATGCACCACAACCACTGAGCCTGCGCTCTAGAGCCCACAAGCCACAACTACTAAGCCCACATGCCACAACTCACCTAGAGCCCGTGCTCCGCAACAAAGAGAAGCCACGGCTCCCCAATGAAGAGTAGCCTCCCGTTTGCCGCAACTAGTGAAGAGCCCGCATGCAGCAACAAAGACCCAATGCAGCCAAAAATAAATAAATAAATGTATTTGTTAAAAAAAGTATTACCAGTGTTATCTCTAGAAGTAGCATGACCATAAGAGGTATTATTTCCTCATGTTTACTTTTCTGTATTTTCAAAATCCTTAAACAAATAAGCAATTCTTTTGTATTTGGAAAAACTGTATATCATTTTTTAAAAGACAGAAAGGAGAAAAGACGTCTTTCCTTCTTTCTAATACGTAAAAGGCATTAAACAACTCCAGCAGAAAACTGCCACAGGCCCCTTGCTCAGCACACCCTTCAGAAAACTTCCTCAAGCACATCGCCGACCCCTAAGGAACTCTCAGTCCCTGGGCCCTACTTTCATGCTTCCCCTCGCCCTCCTTTCACCAAAGATCTGTCATCCACAATTCACGCAAAGAAGGTAGATCACAGCCCAAGTCCCTCAGACACCGAGGGTCTCTCTAGTCCTCGTCTCGTCCAGCCTCCTACCTTTAACCAAATGAAGCCACAGAGTGTCAATGGTTTTCATGATTGTTTCAGAGACTGTCAACTCCTTGGAGCCTCTCTCACAAACACTGAGGAGGGCAAGCAGGCAGGCAGGCAGGCAGGCAGCACCCCGGGTTTATGAGAAGGAAAGCAAGGCTCAGGAATTGAGGGCAGGAGCCCAGAGCGGGCTTACAGTCCAGCTCTCTCCAATCCCACTGACTCCAGACCCTCTTCAGCCAGCCAGGGACCCCCAGCTGGTAGGGCATGGGGCCCTGGCATCCCCAGCCCCATTTGGCCAGGGGTATACCTGTCTACTGACCCTTCAATCTCCCTCATTCATCCCCATCTCAACCCTCTGTCCCTGCTCCTGCTTCCATAATAAAAAGGCTCGGAGAGGGCTTCCCTGGTGGCGCAGTGGTTGAGAGTCTGCCTGCCGATGCAGGGGATGCGGGTTCGTGCCCCGGTCCGGGAAGATCCCACACGTCGCGGAGCGGCTGGGCCCGTGAGCCATGGCCGCTAAGCCTGCGCGTCCGGAGCCTGTGCTCCACAACGGGAGGGGCCACAACAGTGAGAGGCCCGTGTACCGCAAAAAAAAAAAAAAGGCTCGGAGAAATTAGGAGAACCTCCTCTCACAACTCATTAATTTAGTTAACTGTCTAATCTTTTACTATCCTCTCACCTCATAGATCAAGAACTTCTCGTTTTCAACGTATGAGCCAGAACTCAGCTATGATTGATAGAAGCCACCAAAGTCGACGTGGCTTAAGTGGAGAAGAGTGGAATTCATTAGCTCATGTTACTGGGTTGTCCAGAGTGCACGTTCGACTTCAGGTACAGCTGGATCTAGGTGCTCAAACATCAGCGCTCTATTTGTCTTTCTTTCTCCATTCAGCAAGCAAGATATTCACCAACAGAATCAATAAATTGCCTTCGGTGGGAGAAATTTTTAAAATAAAAGGATTCACCAACAGGCTCACATTTACATCCTACCAATTCCAGCAAAAGTACATCATCTTCCTCAAGAGCTCTGGCAGAGAAGTGCCAGGAAGGACTCAACTGGCTACATGCAACAGCCCAGTCCTAGGGACACAGGGCAAAGGTCAGTCCCCTCTAGCCACACAGGGAAAGGTGTTCTCTTCCTAGAAGGAAGTGGGAGATGCTGGAAAGGAAACCAACAGAGTTCCACCTTCACAAATCTCTTCCACTTTAAGAACAAGTTAGTTTCTTGGCACAGGTATTCACTGGCAGCAGTAAGCATGGATGACACCATCGAGCTGGGGTTACTTTGCCACCCAGTCAAAATGAATTATTAGCCAACAGTCACAAGAAATGCCCAAATACTACAATGAAAATCTAGGTGAGAAAGTGGTTTTTTTACTCACGTTTACTGAGGTATGACTTATCTACAGTAAGATTCACCCTTTTTAGCAGAGTTCTACCAATGTTAGTGAGTGCACGCAGCTGTGTGACCACCACCACAATCAAGATACAGAACAGGGCTTCCCTGGTGGTGCAGTGGTTGAGAGTCCGCCTGCCGATGCAGGGGACACGGGTTCGTGCCCCGGTCCGGGAAGATCCCACATGCCGCGGAGCGGCTGGGCCCATGAGCCATGGCCGCTGAGCCTGCGCGTCCGGAGCCTGTGCTCCGCAACGGGAGAGGCCACAACAGTGAGAGGCCCGTGTACCGCAAAAAAACAAAAAACAGAGCAGCCTGCCTGGCAGAGGGGGTGGTGCCATTGTGAAAAAGGGGCTCTGAGGGACTCACAGCAAGCAAGGGCCACGCACCTTGCTATTACCTTGAGGAGGAGCCTTCCAGGCAGAAGGAACTACCGGAGCAGAGGCCGGAGACCTAAAGGAGCTTGGAGTGTCTGAGGAACAGCAAGCTGCCCCGCGGCTGCAGGGAGCACAGCAAGGGTGGGAGAGGCTGGGGATGAGGTGGGAGAAGAGCAGGGCCTCAAACAAAGCAAGGTGATGGCGCCTTTGGGTTTCACCCAAGTGAGATGGCAAACTGTCTAATCCAGACCTCCCACACCATCTGCCTGCTCCACACTGACATTCAGGGGGCTGGGTCCTGCTGGAGAGTATCCCCCAAGTTGGAGCCAGGGCAAACTCAGTCTCCACACCTCGCCACTGTTAGTCTTTGACTTGAGGTACCAGCAAATAGCTCAGTTATGAGTACTTAACTATGAGCCAGCAGATTCTAATCATGGAGCTCTTACAGAACTGCTCGGCACACAGTAGGGTGCCACGCAATTCACCACCTTAATTAAGCACTTTTCAGAGTAAAAGAGGGTACATTAGGACTCCCCTGGTGGCACAGTGGTTAAGAATCTGCCTGCCAATGCAGGGGACACGGGCTCGATCCCTGGTCCAGGAAGACCCCACATGCTGCGGAGCAACTAAGCCCGTGCGCCACAATTACTGAGCCTGCGCTCTAGAGCCCGTGAGCCACAACTACTGAGCCCACGTGCCACAACTACTGAAGCCTGTGCGCCTAGAGCCCGTGCTTCACAACAAGAGAAGCCACTGTGATGAGAAGCCTGCACACCACAATGAAGAGGAGCCCCCGCTCACGGCAACTAGAGAAAGCCCGCGCACAGCAACGAAGACCCAGCACAGCCAAAAATAAATAAAAATAAAATAAATTTATTTTTTTTAAAAAAAAAACAAATGATGTCAGAACCAGAAGACCTTCCCGGGCCAACTAAGAGTCAACACTATAGTTACCTCTTCTTACTCGTGCATTAACTTGAAATTCACTTCTCCGGGAAGGTGTTCCCAATTCCCCCAATCTGCATGAAGGACCCACAGCACCCTTTAGGTTCTCTGCTGCAGCACTGCTCACAGCCTGTAGCTCAAGAACCCCTTACGAGTCCATATACCCAACCAGACTGCAGCTCCAAGGAGGTGGGGTCTGGATGCGTCCTGTCCTCCACTGCGGGCATCCACAGGGTCTCCCAAAGAGCAGGTGCTCAATTCCTGCAGCTAAATGAACTCATTTGGTCTCTCATGTGTATGCTTGTCTGACCCTGGTGATGTCACTACAGAGTGAAATACTCTTACGTTTGCATCTGGGTTCTGTGGGAGCGGGACCTTTATTTCATTCACTGACATGTCCCCTGAAGTCCAAAATGCAGTGGCCAGTAGGTAACGGTACTCAAGTAATGTCTGCTGTGCTTCTAGCATCTTTTCCAAGGACCAGGTAACGCCTATGGGGATTTTAACAACAGAGGGAGGGACAGCCTAGCGCTCCGGCTGCACTGTATCTAGTTATAATGTCTAGTGCTAGAAGTTAAGACAGAATCAAGACAGGAGATCCCATCCTTCCTAGGCACTAGGCCTTATTTCTCTCTTGTCACGTGATTTTTAGGCTGTGTCTTTCTTGCAGAAACTTGCATGTATCTCACCGGATGAGGAGGAACCCAACTTCCTAGCCCCTTCCACCCCCAGACATGGCTCTCCATAGCAACTGGGAACCTGAGCTGGTAATCTGTCTCTTCAACCAGACCCCGGAGCACACAATCCCCTCCCTAGAAGGAAGAAACCAGCCCAACACAGGCTCCAACGAGCCAGAAAGGAAGGACAGTTAGAAGGAAAACACAAAGGCTGCTCTCTCGGTCCTGCCCTCTCCTTTTCACATGCAGTCAGCCCACATTCCCTGCGGCGGGTGGGGGGGTGTCAGATAAAACAGCAGTGGGCAGTTCAGCTGGTCCACCTGGACTAGTTACTGCCATCCGACCCCACGGGCAGAGCCCCCTTCCGGGTTCCCAAGAAGGAGAATCCTGCTCTGGACATTCATCAGCATAAAAGACCAGCTGTGGTTTGGGGGCAAACATCCTACCAGCCGTCCAGCTGCCCACAGCCATGCCAGGGACATCACTCTACCAGGGACCCCACGCAGCCAATCAAATACATCACAGACCACTTTACATCACCTCTCCTACGGTCTTCTCTAAGGCAGCCCATCCAGCAGAACACAAGTGGGGGTGGAACTCATGCCAACACTTGAGTAGCTCTCACAAGACACCACCCACTTTGTTTTTCCCACATTGTGCGCCTAAGATTTCAGAAACACTCCTTACCTTTCTCTACCCAGAGGGCCTCTTTCTCCATCTGTTAGGGATCCTTTTTCTTTCCCCCCTCATAAATGCAGATGTCGCTGGAAGAGCCATTAAACCTAAAACGAAATTTTGAGTTAATTATCTGTCTTTGGACTTAAAAGAAGGCTTTGCAAGGTAAAGTAAATTCTTTCTGGAACCTTGTGGATTTTTCTCCCTGACCCCTGATAATCTTACTTTCCCACTATACAGGACTTTTTTTTTTCCCTGAGTTAACTTCTCTAGGTTTAAAAAAAGAAGAAGAAAAAGAAAGGAACACACTTCTGGTTGTGGGAGGAGGGGAGGGGGAATAAGCAAATACAGTGGGGCCCCCTGGCCCCCATCTGTTCCAAATCTTCCCCTCACAGGATGTAATGTCTAAAAAGCAAGAAAAATACTCCTTCCTCTTCCAGCATTGGGCAGGATCTTGCATGCAAAGAGAAGAATGTCTGGTTACTCTGTGGGTTTTCATCTGCTTTTTAACTCACATGTGGCCAAACTACCCTGGCCGCCCAATCCCATTTCTCCCTCTCCCCCCAAAATCCCGGTGCTCAGCAGGGCTCACCGCTCGTGAAGGGCATCCTGGTTCAGTCAAGGAGCTCCCACCCCTCCACACCACACCACCAACCCCTTTGGCACAAAGGATCTGTTCTAAGCCTGGCCAATGACTTCTGCAGACTTCTCAGCTGAAGACCTGCCAGAGGGAAGCCAGTGCCCCCAGAGGAAGTGGGGCCGCCCCTGAGGGTAAAATGAGTGGGCTCGGGGGCCTGAACTTCTTGACCTGCGCTCTCACGCCCTGCTTCCAGGCACTCGGCACACGGGTGCACACGCGCAGCCAAGTCCTGCGCATCTCAACAGGAAGGACGTTACCCAGCAGCTGCAACGTCCCTACTGGTGCCTTTCCAACGCTGGGAGGGCGCTATTTACAAGAAGCGCAGCCGGAGGGACCAGACGAGTTCCAACTTTATTTCAACCGACCCTTCTTTCCGGCTTCTATAGTTCTCCTTGAAATTAAAGAGGCCTTCCTCCCTGAATTGCCCGATTTTTACGCAAGGACAGAGGCTCTCATTTAAATGATTGAGAAACCCTGACTGAGAAGATGGCAAATGACCCCCCGGATCTGCCGCTCCCCGTTTGGCGCTTCACCTTCCTCTCCTCTGCACCAGGCCCTCCCCGACCCCACACCCCACCACCTCCTTTGTTTTTCCCACATTGTACACCTAGGATTTCAGAAACACTCCTTGCTGCCTTCCCTCCCCCACCCCCCCAAGCGTGCTCCTTGGCACATACTCCTTTTTTATCCTGGTGCAACCCAGAGCCCCTTCCAGGCTTCCTCTTACCCTGGCTCCAAATTCTCCTTCCTTCCTGCCCTCTCATCCCTTCTAATCACAGCCTCCAAGGCCCTTGTGCTCTACCCTCACCCACCCCCTCCTCTGACCTTACAAACTACCTCCTCCTTGCTATTCCTCAAACATACCTCAGGGCCTTTGCACTTGCTGTTTCCTCTACCCAGAGGACCTTCTTCTGGGGTGTTTGAAATTCTGGCTGCCTCACGAGATATAAACTTCTGCCTGAAAATTACCTCCCTAGAGGGGCCTTGCTCCTAAAAAGCACCCCCATCACTCTCTCCTCACTCTACCCCACACCTGCTTTATCTTCATTCACAGCTCCTTTCCCCACAAAGGCTCTCTCCTTGACCAAACTTTAATCAGGCTCCTCTGAGCCCTCTTCTCAATGAGGTCCTGCCCTTGGCCTGCCTTCAGCAAAGAATCCTGCTAAGTCTTCCCCTACCCTTGAGATCCGATCAAGTTCCTCATTACCCATCTTTGATGTCTAAGTCCTTGGCCTGCCGTCTGCAAGAATCTTGTTAAGTTGGTTTAGCGAGAATCGCCTCCCCTTGATGTCTACCTCATCCACTGACCCCCTCAGTCTGTTGATGGGTTCTAAACCCCAGCTGTCTTTGCCATGCTCAGAGTTGAACCCAATCTCTTTTCCCTATTGCACTCACCTTCAATCAAGGCTTCCCTACCACTTCAACAGGTGTCAGAGGACTGTTTCTTTAACACCACTCGACATCATAGGGTCTTTCTGTTCATCTGTCTCCCTCCACTGGGCTATAAACTATAAGCTCCATGAGGGCAGGGTCTCTATGTGTTTTGCTCTCCTCCAGCTCTCTAGCTTCTAGAGCAGTATCTGACACGCAGCAGACACTCCCCAAATCTTCGTTGAATGTACAAATCTAGCGACCTCCACTTGTCTCTTGGTCTCAGTTTACCTGCCACCTCCTCCGGGAAGCCATTCCTGAATCTTCCTTACTCTATATTTCGTCTAGCCGTGGTCAGACTGATCACAGGGGATACTTCTCTGGCTTAATACGCACTTTTAACTTGTTATATAACATACTAACAAAATGAAACAAAGAAGTCTATCTTGACCACCTGCCCTCCTTCCCTTTCACAGCTCCAGCACCCACCTCCAGCCTGAATTCTCTGTTACGTACATCCATGCACACACCTGATCACGTGTCTTCTCTCCCTGCTCTTCCCAACACACACATTGCCTGACCCCCTAGCAGGGAGCTAATTAAAAAGGGAGAGGAACAGGAGCCCTGATGGGGTCAGCTCTCTGCTCTCTAAAACCAGGCCCAGCTTTGCCGCCCTGCCATCACCCCCGCTACCCACCACCGTCTTCCTGGCTTTCTCCACCCCCGGGAAGGAAAGATGCCACTTCTGTTGGCTGCCCTGCAAGAGGGCAATGGAGTCCACAGGCCAGCCCTTCTCAGCTCACTTCTCCACTCCCAGCAAACTTACAAGGCCAATGCCGGGCAGACTAAGCCGCCCGAGTCCTACTGCTCAAAGCTGCAATCCTGGAAGGCATGAGAGTTCATTAGGCCCGAAAACCACGGAGGGAGGGCCACGGCCCTAGTGGCTGGTGAGTTCCCACCAGCTCCAAAGCCTCCGGGAGGGAGTCTGGGGGAGGGGAAGCTGGTTATAGAAACAGCCCAAGTAAGTTTCCACATAAAGGAAAAGTAAACAGATGCAGGCTCTTCCTCAGCCCTTTGAGCCTCTCAGAGGAGAGCAAACCTTCAAGTGTTTGTCAAAAAGCGAATCCGATTTTAAAGTGCTTTGAAAGGGCTGGAAGAGGAAATACCAACTACTGACCACCCCCTGCACTGGCCTGCAGCCTAAGCGTGGCCACTTTCCCCTCCCTCGGCCTCTGTCTTGGGGGTACTGTTCGTACAGAGACCCTGAGAATCGGAAGGTACCTGGGCAGAAGCGGGAGCCAACCCTCGTCCATTCAGTCGTCCACTAAGGGCTACTGACCCCTCTTTCTGCCAAGAAAGGCGGCTTCAGGAGAGCAGAAAACCGGCCGGGATTGGAAAGCAAGGACTGCACGCAGCCTTCACGCCAAGGCACGCTCACTCCACGCACACCCTTCAAATCTAGAAGATATTGAATTACCCTGGCCCGGCTTCCTGGGGGCAGGGCAATTATCTCCCCTCCCCCACCCCGCACCCCAGGTGGGCCTCATTTCTGGCAGCCAGTTCCCTCCCAGGTGAAATGAGTTTCCAAATGGGTTTGCCCAACAGCAATTAAAGGAATAGCAAACCCTTCTCAAATACTCCAGAATCTGGTTCTCTCTCCCTTGGACAACTTTACCAGATGCTGTCACCTACTACCATCATGCTAGGGTGGCCAACCACCCAGGTTGCCAAGGACTGTCCGGGTTTTAGCACTGAAAGTACTGCATCCCAGGATGGTTTGTCACCTGTCACTGTGGCCTCCCCAACCTTCTCCCCTCCCATCCCCACAGTTTCACAAGGACACATATTTTGGCAAGGTGGGCTTCCTGGTATTGCTCCCTAATCCTGATGCCCTTGCTGGGTTTAGAGGAAAGGAAAGTGGTAAATCTAGAGGTTGAATTAGTTTCCTTCTACCAGAGTCTTTTAACTTAGAAAAAGGAAAATAGATAAGAATAATACCAGACACGCAGCACTTTACTGAACATACAATACCTTGTTCCATTAATCCTATGAGGTTGGTACCATTTCCCAGACTGGGAAACTGAGGCTCAGGATCACAGATAATAAGTGGTAGGACTGACATTCCAATGCAGGCTGTGACACCAGCGCTCACAGACTAATTCACTGTATTAATCTGCGATCCCTAAAGATGAAGAATCCTTGTCATTTTGATCACAGAGGATGAAAACAATGTAAAGCTACTTATGCGAGACTGAAAGGGCGTAAATTCACATATGTGGAGCAACACACGAGAAAAACAGGATCCTGAGAGAAAAGGGAACCTTCATACACTGTTGGTGGGAATGTAAGCTGGTGCAGCCACTGTGGAAAACAGTATGGAGATTTCTCAAAAAACTAAAAATAGAACTACCATATGACCCAGCAATTCCATTCCTGGATATGTATCTGAAAAAAACAAAAACACAAATTAGAAAAGATACACGCACCCCAATGTTCATAGCAGCATTATTTATAATTGCCAAGACATGGAGACGACCTGTGTTCATCAACAGATGAATGGATAAAAAAGATGTGATATATATACATATATATAGTATATATATCACACACTATATTACATAGTGTATGTGTGTGTATATATATACACACACACACAATATATATTACCCACAATGGAATATTACTCAGCCATAAAAAGGAATTAAATTTTGCCATTTGCAGCAACATGGTTGGACTTGGAGGGTATTACCCTAAGTAAAATAAGTCAGACAGAGAAAGACAAAAATTATATGCTATCACTTATACGTGGAATCTAAAATATACAACAAACTAGTGAATATAATAGAAAAGAAGCAGACTCATAGATATAGAGAATAAACTAGTGGTTGCCAGTGGGGAGAGGGGAGGGGGAGGGACAATATAGGGGGAGGGGACTAAGAGATACAAACTATTATGTATAAAATAAGCTATAAGGATATATTGTACAACATGGGAAATATAGCCAATATTTTATAATAACTATAAATGGATTACAACCTTTAAAAATTGTGAATCACTTTATTGTACACCTGTAACCTATATAATATTGTATATCAACTATACTTCAGGTTTTTTTAAGAGAAAAAAATAAATAAATTGTATGGAACCTACAAAAAAAGAAAGAGAGCGGGATTATGAGACTGTGGCCACAGGTTCTCATATAGATGGGACCCAATAGCTGCCGTGAGAAGAGCGCCAGGTTCCCAGTTACGGCACCACTGCCCTGCTGCAGAGTCTCACCAGGTAACCCCTAACGTTGGCCCTACCCCCATCCACCCTCCCAGTGGCTGCTAGATGCATCCGTTAAAACTCCAACTGATCGTGTCCAACCCTGACACCCCCAAGAGCTGCCCTGCGTAACAAAATCTAGGTCCCTCAGCCTGAGTCTCAACCATTGCCTTGAAAATATAGGTGGAGGCCAACTTTACAGGAACCAATTTGGCAGGAGAGGTCAGAAAACTTTAAGTGTTCATGCCGCTTGACCTTATAATCTCCCTTGTAAGAATTTTGCTCAAGGAAATGGTTGTAACTGGTAGGGATTGGGAGGAGGGTGACATTTTACACGTAAAGGTGTTCATACATAAGGTTATGTCGAACAACGAACCTGGAATAATGCCCATGACTAACAATAAAGAAATGGTTAACGAAACTATGATGTATCTGATATATCTGTTCAATTGGATATTACACAACCACTAAAATGTATGTTTATGAGGAGTTGAAAACAGCATGGAAAATGCTTGGGCTGGCATGTTAAGAAATACCTGCAGGAAATAAAATTATAAAGACAGTGTGATCACAACTATGTGAAAACAAAAACACTACTTACAGTGAAAGGACTGAAAGGAAGTGAACAAGATGAAGAGGAACTAACACCAAGCATCCTGCTAACTGCTTTACCTTCTTATCTCATTTAATCTTCGCGGCAAGATAGGAGCTATTTTTATCCTCACTTAACCAAGGAGAAAACGCAAGCTCCAAGAGGATAATGCAGCTGCCCAACGGTTGCCCACAGCTGACCAGGGAGAGAAGGGATCTGAACTCAAGATTTGCCCGATTCAGAGCCTGTGCCCTTATCCTCCAAGCTATACCATACCCAAAAGCAGACAGTAGCTTAATTTGGCTAGTGGAACGGCTGGCAACTTGTTGCCCCTCCACTTTCTACTTATTTTTTTTCCAAATTGTCTATATTAACCATTAGTACATTTTTTTCTTAACTTTTCCTTCCACTTCGAAGGTCATACAGGCATGTGACACCCGGTGGGTCGTATTACTTTTTTAATGTAGAAAACAATAAACTTATGACCAAACAACGTTTAAAATGACAAAAAATTCTTTCATCTTGAATTCAATTCTCCACGGTTTGGCTTTCTGCTATCCTTCTGGTCACTAGTCGTTCAGTCTCCAAGATAAGTTATTAGGTGACATGGTCAGATCCATGAGCTGGAAAGAACAGCTCTGGGGGTGGAGACGAAGGTGGGATGGTAGAGGCAGGGGAAGCAGAAGGTGGGGGCAGGTGAGGAACTGAGCGGGGTGCCCCCCCCCCGGGGGGCCCCCCCCCCCCCCCCCCCCCCCCCCGTGAAGCTGACCTGGCAATGTAACACACATGTAACATACAGGTAACACACATGGGGAAAGGCCATGCGCTCGGTGGCCAAGGGAAACAAACTGTGCACAGAAAAGCATCAGCATAAGACAAACGAAACAACAGAATGACCTGGGGCTGTAATCTGGGCTCCCTCCCCATTTCAGGGCCTCCTGGCTGCACTTGCAAGGTGGGAGACCAGAAGCCTCCAGCCGCCACGCCCTGGAACATCCAGGATGAGAGGGCCGATGAGGAGAAGGGTCACCACCATCCACAACACATGGCTTTTTGGACCGGGCCTCCCCTGGAACGGTCTTTTCTAGTTTGAGGGAGACAACAGGCTTTTGAGGAAACAAATTACAGACAGCTTGGCTGTAGCTAAGCAGTAGCAGCACAAAGTGTGAAAAGTTGCAAAAAAGATGCTCAGATTTCACTCACTTTTCTCTTCAGCCCCGCACGTTGGAGGGCTTTCCAAGTAAGGAAGCCACAATATTACTAGAGGAAATAAAATCAAAAGGACGAACCTTTTTAACTGTAGTTCTCAGCCCTTGAGGGGCCTCAGAAGCACAGAGGAGTGTGGATGAGGGGGACCTGTTTAAAATGCAGATTTTCAGGCTCGCCCCCAAACATTCTGATTTCACAGATCCTGCTAAAGCCTAGGAGTCTGCATTTTAATGAGCATTTCCCCAAGTTGCTGTTAGGCTCTACTCTATCTGATAAGAAACTCTGGGGGCTTCCCTGGTGGCACAGTGGTTGAGAATCCGCCTGCCAATGCAGGAGACACGGGTTCGAGCTCTGGTCCGGGAAGATCCCACATGCCGCAGAGCAACTAAGCCCGTGCGCCACAACTACTGAGCCTGCGCTCTAGAGCCCGCGAGTCACAACTACTGAGCCCACGAGCCACAACTACTGAAGCCCGCACGCCTAGAGCCCGTGCTCCGCAATGAGAAGCCACCGCAATGAGAAGCCCGCGCACTGCAACCAAGAGTAGCCCCCGCTCGCCACAACTAGAGAAAGCCTGCATGCAGCAACCAAGACCCAACGCAGCCATAAATAAATAAATGAATAAATAAAAGAAACTGACTTACAGAGTCTTGGTGGTAGAAGGTCTGACATCTGATATTCAGGGCACATTTCTTAATTATTTCATCTTTTAAAAACACATTACAAAGGGAATACAGGGAATTCTTTGTATTCTTTTTGCAACTTGTCTGTAAGACAAATTATTTCAAAAGGTTAAAATATATTTATTACACAAGTAATATATGCCTATAGTAAAATATCTGTCATAGCGCCACATGACATAAAGTGGAAAAGGGACACCCCCTTCACCGCTCCCACCACCACCACCAGCCCCAACCCACTCTCCGAAGTAGCCACTGCAAACAATTTGGTATATATTCAGCAAACACGTCAGACTTTTGTTTGTGTGTTTTCATTTTTTAACTATAACTAATGCCTACAAGAATGTGATGAAAATGACACTCAGAGTTGTTAGTTGAAGTGCAAATTAATACAACCCTCTTGAAAAGCAATTTAGCAATGTGTATCCAAAAATATAAAAATATTTTGTATACCTTAAACTTATACAATGTTATATGTCAATTATATCTCAATTTTTTTCATTAAAACCTTTTTTAAAAACCCATAAAAACATTCATACTCTTGGACCTACCGATTCCATGTCTAGGAATCTCTCCAAAGAACATCACTCTCCTGGAATAGTATGTTATCTTTCTTTTTTTATTTTAATTGTGGTAAGAACACAAAATGAGATCTACCTTGTTAACAAATTTATTTATTTATTTATTTTTGCGGCACGCGGGCCTCTCACTGCTGTGACCTCTCCCGTTGCGGAGCACAGGCTCTGGATGCACAGGCTCAGCGGCCATGGCTCACGGGCCCAGCCGCTCCGCGGCATGTGGGATCCTCCCGGACCGGGGCACGAACCCACGTCCCCTGCATCAGCAGGCAGACTCTCAACCACTGCGCCACCAGGGAAGCCCTGTTAACAAATTTTTAAGCATATAGTACTTCATAGCTGACTCTAGACGGTGTTGTACAGAAGGTCTCTAGAGCTTGTTCATCATGTTTGACTGAAATTTTATGCCCACTGATTAGTAACTCCTCTCTTCCTCCTCCCCCCAGCCCCTGTCAACCACTGTCCCATCTTTGATTCTATGAATTTGACTACTTTAGAAAGCTCATGTCAAGTGGAATCATGTAGTATCTGGCTTTCTGTGGTTGGCTTATTTCATTTAGTATTATCTCCTCAAGGTTCATCCATGTTGTCACATACTGCAGAATTTCATTCCTTTTAAGAGCAGAATAGTATTCCATTTTGCGCATACACCACAGTTTCTTTATCAAGTCATCTGTCGATGTATATTTAGGTTGGTTACACATCTTGGCTATTGTGAATAATGCTGCTATGAACATAGGAGTACTAATATGACTCCAAGACTCTGATTTCAATTCTTTGGGGTAATTCCCACAAGTGAGATTGCTGGATCATATGGTAATTCTATTTTGAATTTTTTGAGGAACCTCCATACTGTTTTCCATAGCAGCTCCACCATTTTGCTTTCCCACCAACCATGTCCAAGGGTTCCAATTTCTCCACATCCTTGCCAATGCTTTTCTTTTGTTTGTTTTGTTTTAAAGTGTTTATAGCTATTTATTCTTTTCCAAGGAAATCTGAACATTTCATCAGAGT